ACAGGCTCTAGGGCTCGGTGAATGTCACACGGGTTGGAGGCCTGCCATTCCTCGATGTCCTCCCTCCGAGGCGCGACAACACACATCACCCGGCCGCCGGACCCCCCGGTATAATGGTCAAGGCCCACGTACAGTCTTTCCGATATCCCCCAGTCCTCCTCGATCAGCACGGAACATTGATGGAAACACCACCCCTGGGCATATCAGTCTGGCGGTTTACCAGGTTCAGGCCAATAAAGCCCGGGCCCGCCTCTTCTGCTTCCTTCGGGGGAGCCGCACCCCTTGATACTCAAGCCTGCCCGCGCCCTCCGTCGGGACCCTGGGCCTTGACCTACCCCCACTTGCCCTCCTACTCCTGGGTCCTCGCTAACTTCCTCCTCCCGTGGTATTTTCACAACTCATACCCACCTCTCTACACGTATAACAATACCGGTCGAAAATCTCCTTGGCTTGATACTCGTGTAACCTTCATAAGGTCCCTCCAGGCAGGGGTCAGCCCAACGAACATTTGCCGTCATATGCTGCAAAAGCTAATTTTTAACGTGCCCGAACCCGCCCATTCCGGTTTTGGACGGATAGGCAAGGCTTTCGGAAATCTCCCAACGGCGGCGAAAACATGCCAATTACTATCGCACGAATGGGGCATTCAGGATTGAAATCAGGTAAACTGAAACAAACACTTCCCGCCTCCGAGGACAAGACAATCTGTCCGGACCCAAGGAATGCCGTTAGGCTTGCAGGCTCCTGCGGAAGAAGAGAAGAACTCACGATCCTGTTTCAACGCTTCGGCCAGGATGAGAATGGCCCTCCCTCTTCGCCTTAACCCCGTATCCCTCGCTGCTTCCTGTTCCCCTAGCCAGATAACTTCCCGGTTGCGGTGGCCCACACCAATATTCTTCAAGGTCTTCCTCTTCACCCTCAGCCCGGAAAGCGGGTGGCATCCCGTTTACCTTTACGCCCGCATACGGTGTATAAATGCTGGTCGACAACCGATGCGGTAAAAGTCCCCCGTTTTCATTCTCTACGCCGAGATTCGATCAGAAGTCCTGTTCCGGGTTAAGCTGCTTATACCCCGGCAAGCACTTCATCCAAACTTCATTCCTCCTGGTGTGTTGCGACCTTCGAAACAGGGCATGCCCTCATCATCTTTCCACCACCGGATACCTACCCCGCTCGTCGACAAATCGGACTGGAGCCAAAAATATCGAAGCGCGTCACGCAAAAGCCAACCCGGTCACGCAAAAGTTGAAGTTTACGATTGTCGCCCACACGGCTGCTGTCATGATTTCCGTTTGCAGGGTCCCCTTGCGGAACTCAAAACCGGTTCAACGAGCGGTACGTCGCGTAGAGTCCCGATAATCATGTTTATGCTTTTCCTTTTACGGCCATGGAAGCCGCTGGAAGCATCTCTCCGCAGAAATCCGCTTATCTAAGGTGAACCACGTTACCCACAAAATAGCGGGGCCCTTGATTTAAGGCCCTGTGGACCTGATGGGTGTTGATAACCATCGTTAAGCGCAGGATATACAGCCTCGGTCCTCGTACACATGTAAAAAAGCCTGCGCATGAACCATAAGTCCGATTACCACCAGAATTGCTCGATAATCAAAAGTCGCATATTTACTCCTCTTTGGTCCGGTCCTACGCCCGAGGAGCCGCTATTTAACTTGGAACCGGTTACGGACGGAGAAACCACCATTAGGTTTGGTGTCCTAATGGGCACACCGCGTAAGCCCCACCCTCTCCCCTCCCCGGGCCAAGTATCAGGACAGTTATCAGCCTCGGGAAAACAATAATCTTGCTGGACCCCCCGTGAAGCACTTCTTCCCAGAATGTTGCCTCGAGATAGAGGCCTATGGCGTGTTACTTCCCTGGAGTTCTGATATTCCGCCATATGGAATAACAACTGCGCCCGCTCAAATCACAAACACAACCACACTCCCTTCGATACGGCACCTGCCCTGAGGCCTCGGCTCCTTCCGTAATCCGTTCGGGCGTCCACCCCGGCCCTCTGTATAATATCGGCTCAAAAGCCCCCCTGTCCTGGTTGATGCAGTGTCCCCCTCTCCTTGCTGGCTCTCATCACTTCCCTCCGAAAAGCGTCCTCGCACCTCCTCTCGGTTGCTTTCACCCACCACTGTCCCCTTAAATCTGCACGTTTTCAATGTTAAAGCCGTGCTGTACTGTCCGAATTCCCTGCCACATGATTTTCGTCCGTTCCTCCCCAAACTCTTCCACGTTGCGAACCAGAACGTCCGTCAATAGAACGCTGGCCCCACTACCAACCTCAAAATGCGGCCTCGGCAAGCATCTTTAAGATGCGGCCCCATCGGGCGTCCCTTGATCCATGGGCCCGACCTTCCCACCCCGGTCGGCCCACCCGGAACAGAATGCGTTCAGGCTCCTGATGTATACTTACAAACAACCATCTGTACGATCCACCAGTATTCAGTCGCCGCTGATCATCCAGTCTATCTTTTGCCGTAATGCGAATGCCCCTCCTTTCTCTTTTCCTCGGAAACCCAACCATACGCCCTGTTTCGGTACCCGCAGCACGTCCCCTTCTCTTTCCGATTTGCGTAGCCCACCACCAGTGGAGACCTTCCCTGGTAACCGCACTGCCCCTACCGCAACCGAAGAGCGCAGGGCCGGCTTTTCAACATTCACACTCACCGGAACCAGATTAGTATAACAACTCCGGTGCCCAGCCAACTATTATCCTGCCAGTACGAGATGCCTACTACTAAAAGGGCCCCACTCCCCCGCCGCCAAGCGTCCGGAGCTCGACCCTAACCATCTCGAAAGCGATCATTGAACCTGCTCAAAGTCATTTCAGGCTGACGGTGTTGGTTGTCCGCCAGGTGATTGCATAAGCCATTTCCCTTGTTTTAAAAAATTACCCGGGAAGTGTTCCGCAGCCGCAAGTCGGGACCACACCGGTTCGTTCCACCAAGGCAAGTCCAAGCCAAGTAGGGAACCTTCAAAGTCGCACCCATAGATTTCTATCTGTATTCCACATTTTGGCGAATCCGTAACGATAATTGGCGAAATCGTTGCCAGAAGCGCCCACGCCAGTAGACGGACATGGCTGAGGAACCGCGGCTTAAAACCCACTCACTATCTCCCACCCTTCCTGAGTGGTGGTCCAGGCCCCAATCATGTTACCTGACCCTGTCCTACGGGTCATAGATTCTTTCTTTTCTAACCCCGGCTCACTTATTCCCCCATGTTCTTACGTTCTTTTCCTGACATTATCTTCCCTATCCTTACGTAGCTTAAGTGAACGTAGCCGGAATGGCTCACATGCATTGACCGTAAGGCTCAACTGCCCGGGACTTGGATGATACCGACGGATGGGCAGGGTATACTAAAACGTCAGATTTCGGGCAGCAGGAAGAGGGCAGCTAAGCGCCTTCGCGCAGCCAAATAACGTGTGGGGTGGTACAGCGGGGATGGTTAGAAACAATGGCAGACCACGGGATGACGATCAGTCCCAACCCCAGCGATGACATGACCCGATTCAGGTTACCCTGCCCGCGCACCAGAGCGGCTTGCTGTACTGTCTGACAACAGCCCTTCCGCCGGCAGACGCAGCTGGTTGGCCACGCGAGCAGTGTGCCCTGCGCACGCGTGGCAGGGTGTTTTTTCAGGGAAACTGAACCTCAAGGATGCCAGGGTGGCGGGGCTGATTGCGGACTGGGGCCCCGTCTACTACCGGCAGTTGCCGCTGGTGGAGGGGAGGAGGCTGAGGAAGGTAAAGCTGATGCGGGACGGATGAGAAGAGAGTGGCCGCGCAAGGCCGTTCCTTCTACTACAATCTCCAGTGTGACAACCGGCGCTTCCGCTCCCGCCCGGAAGTTGGCAGCGCTACGCTTCCCACGTGCACTTCGCCTTATTCCCTGGAGGGCCCGATTCGGGTGCCGACTTCTACCCAGCGCTGGTCCAGAGACAGCGCCGTCACAGTCCAGAGAAACATGGCGGGTAAATCCTGGCGATGGCACTTGCGCATACTGGGTATTAAACCAACGACCAGGTCGTCCTTCGCCTGTCACTGCGCACATTATGATGTGAGCACGGTAAAGAATCCAGTGTGCACGCCCACCGCAGGACCTGATCCTTGGCGCACTCCCTCAAGGACCCACGGATTATTCCTCGTATGCCAGATGGTAGAGTTCTGTCCAGATTGAGAGGGCCTTGCCAGAAGGGCCAGCAAGGCAAGAGCCCCACCACAGGTACCCATCGGCAGAGCAATAGCCAGCCCGACATGCTGTATCCCGAGTCTCCTTATGGATGCCACGCAGAGGAGAGTCAATACCAATATGGCTGTGTTTGCCACTGCATCGGCCGCGACAAGGAGTCAAAACCCAGCACAAGTATGACAACGACGCAGAAGAAGGAAAGCGCCAGAAACAGCGCGCCCGGTGCGTCCGTGATAGCGAATGGTTTTTTTTCAAGGAGTTGACGAGGGTTTTTTCAGGGGGCATTTTTGTTGCCTTCGACGAGGAGCCAGAACCTGAACAGTGGGGCTATTATACTATTTGCGGAAGAATGGCCGGCGTTTCGTTGAGAGAAGTACCAGGTCAGACACGCACCAGGAAGCTATCCCAAGACACCGACCCTGGCTTCCACTCCCATCCCAGGAAAGGATAGAAGTGAGGTGAAGTCATAGCCCCTCTCATCCTGACCTTCCTCTCCCGCCAGGGAGAAGGGCCCTCTCAGGGAACCTCTGGATTGTCAGCGACATTCAGTGAAGGCCGAGATCATCAAAAGGAAATTGGGGGCATCCGTAAAGAAATGAGCGCTTTCACCCCCATCCTAACCTTCCCCCGTCAAGGGGGAGGGGGACTCGTTCGGAGGTTCCTTAGACAGTTTCCAAGTCAAGCTGTAGTCGGCGCGGGTGCGAAAGAACAGGGTCGGGATTGAATCCCGACCCTGTCTGCAATTCAACAACTCAACGTTGAGGCCAACGTTGTTGTGCGCCCCATTTTGCGGTTGCTATTCTAGTCGTCTCCGCTGCCTGTGCTCATGGTTCCCACGTCCGGGGTGTTCTGGCTGGACAGAGACGGCGCCGGCTGGGGCGAAATGTTGGGCTGGGCCGGTTTGGGGGCATAGGGCGGCGGTTCCGACGGAATTGCCGGCGTACCCGTGTCTCCTCCACCGCTGGTTTCCTCGCCGTTGAAGAGACGCTGCAGGTCGTCACCGGAAACAGCCTCGTGCTCAATCAGGTATTCGGCGATGCGCACCAGGTTGGGCTGGTTGTCGTTGAGTATGTTACAGGCCTGGACGTAGGCGTTGTTGACCAGTTCCTTGACCTCCTGGTCGATCTCCTCGGCCACCTTGTCGCCGTAGTCCCTTTCTTCGCTGAGTTCGCGGCCCAGGAACACCAACTCCTCCCGCTTGCCAAAGGTACGGGGGCCCAAGGAGCTGCTCATGCCGTAGCGCTTGATCATGCTGAGCGCAATCTTGGTAGCCCGCTCCAGGTCGTTGCTAGCCCCGGTGGTAACCTCGTCGAAAATCTGCTCCTCGGCCACGCGGCCGCCCATGGTGACAGCCATCATGTCCAGGAACTGGTTCTTGGTCCACAGGTACCGGTCTTCATCAGGGAGCAGGGTGGTGTGACCACCCATGTTGCCGCGGGAGATGATAGAAATCTTGTGCACCCGGTCGGCGTGGGGCAACGACCAGGCCACCAGGGCATGACCGGCCTCGTGGTAGGCGGTCATCTCCTTTTCGCGGCTGCTGATGACGCGACTCTTCCGTTCCGGCCCGGCAACCACCCGTTCCACGGCCTCCTCGAAGTCAGGCATCAGAATGATCTTCTGGTTCTTGCGGGCCGCCAGAAGGGCTGCCTCGTTAATCAAGTTGGACAGGTCGGCACCGCTAAAGCCGGGAGTCTCCTTGGCCAGGGTTTCCAGGTTGATTTCCGGAGCCAGGGGCTTGCCCGCCGAGTGTACCTTCAGGATGGCCTGTCGACCCACCACATCGGGCAGGTCGAGAACAACGCGACGGTCGAAACGGCCGGGACGGAGCAGGGCCGGATCCAGAATGTCCGGGCGGTTTGTGGCGGCCAGTACGATGATGTTGGTGGTGCTCTCGAAGCCGTCCATCTCGACCAGGATCTGATTCAGGGTCTGCTCCCGCTCGTCATGGCCGCCGCCCAATCCGGCGCCCCGGTGGCGGCCCACGGCGTCAATTTCATCCACGAACACGATACAGGGGGCGTTGCGCTTGGCCTGTTCGAACAGGTCACGCACCCGGGCTGCGCCCACGCCCACGAACATCTCAACAAATTCGCTGCCGCTGATGTGAAAGAAAGGGACTCCAGCCTCGCCGGCCACGGCCCGGGCCAGCAGCGTCTTGCCGGTACCTGGCTGGCCAACCAGAAGCACGCCCTTGGGGATGCGGGCGCCCAGGGAGAGGAAGCGTTCCGGATACTTCAGGAACTCCACCACCTCTACCAGTTCGGTCTTGGCCTCGTCCACACCGGCCACGTCGGAGAAGGTGACGGTAGGCCGGTTAAAAGGCATCATGCGGGCGCGGCTGCGGCCAAAGCTCATAGTCTGGTTGTTGCTGCCCTGGGCCTGGCGCATCATAAACAGGATTAGACCGCCAAAGAAGATGAGGGGCAGGAAGTTCAGCAGCAACCCCAGGAAGCTCCCCAACCCACCGGAGCCTTTGAAGGTTACCTGGACTCCGCTCGGGCCCGTTACCACGTCGTTATCGTCCAGCACCTGCATTATGTCGGTCTGATCACTGATGCGGCTGGTGTACTGAGCACCGCCGACGCCGCCTGACACTACGGGAAGAACGGTCAGCTTGTCGCCTTCGACGATAATCTCGCTGATTTCGTGGTTCTTTGCCTTGGTCACCACTTCGGTGAGAGGCAGGTCATTACCGGTCCCGAAGGCAGGGATCAGGGTGTAAAAGATTACTACCCCGATGATAATCAGCAGGTACACCAGGCTATTGCGGAGCCAGCGGTTGCTTCCCATTTTCAATTTCTTCCCCTTAAACGACCAACTTCCGGGCCGGAACCATCCATTCTATAGTCACCTATTGTCTTATATTAAATGAGGCCAAGGCAAAATGCAAAAATGAGCCTTGCTGCAGAAACACGGGAAGGGGTTTTTCCGGCACAAGACCGTTGAAGCTGCCGATTTTTTGCCGAATCGCTGCAAGTGGCTATTGCTGTTCCACGCCCTTATCAATCTCAATGTCCTCAATGGCTCCCAGATTAATGGTACCCAAATCCAGGGTTCCCTTCTTATCCAGGATGACCCGTCGTTCTTCCGTGGCAATCTGGGGCGATTCCCACCGCAGCAGGTAGGTACCCAGCGGCAGCGACAGGTCAAAATTAAAGCCCGGGCCCAGTTCCATCTGCCCCACGTGGGTGGACGCCCTGGGTACCAGCCGGAGCAACCGGTCGTCGCTGGTACGGGGGCTACCCCGTCCGTCCCGATTGCTGGTGGTGAAATAAAGGTAACCGTCCGGGCCCATGACAACGGCCCGCAGGCGGCCAAATTCCCCCGGGAACAGGGTCAGACGTGGATCAACGACCTGGTACTTCGGCGGTTCCAGTTCCACCCGCGGCAGTTGGAGCAGGGTCTGACTTGAAGCAACGGACCGGTACTCCGGGGGTTCCAACACCACCCGCTGCAGGTGTGAGCCCTTCAGGGCAGCATAGACCAGGTTGCCCTGCCAGGAGCCGGGCAATTTGTCCCCAGCAACAAAGGCCGCTCCGGCTATGGCCACCGTGGGGGTCAGGGACAGCACCGAGTCCACGTACTCGGCATGGCCGGGGGAACCGGTAACCTCGGGCCAGCCATAGTTCTTCCCCGGTTCCAGCAGATTTACCTCGTCATCACGGCTTGGGCCGTGCTCGGTGATGAAGAGGTCGCCCGTTTCCGGGTGCCAGTCCAGCCCCTGGGGGTTCCGGTGGCCCCAGGTGTAGACGTAGGAATTGGGAAAGGGGTTGTCCGGCGGAACGGAACCGTCGGCGACCAGGCGCAAGACCTTGCCGGCCAGGGAGGCAAGGTCTGCGCCAGGTCGGGCTCGGTGGCATCGCCGGTAGTGGCGTAGAGATAGCCATCGGGACCAAATCGGATGCGGCACCCGTCGTGGCGGGAAGCCCCGGGGATTCCGTCAAGAATTGGCTGGTGGTCGGTTCCCTGGTTGTGTGCGTCGGTCAAGCGAGCGATCCGGTTGAACATTTCGCCGCCATTGCGGTAGGTATAGCAGACGTAGAGGTACCCGTTTTCCAAAAAATCGGGATCCAGGGCAATGCCCATCAGGCCGGCCTCGGACACGTGGGCCACATCGAGGGTGGCATAGGGTTCCGGCAGCAGCACGCCGTCCTTGAAGACCCGGATCCTGCCGGGCCGTTCGGTTATCAGAATGCGGCCGTCAGGCGCAAAGGCCAGGTCCCAAGGGATTTCCAGACCCTCGGCCACCGTCTCCACACCAAGCGTAAGGGGAATCTGCCTGATCTCCATGATGATGGGTTCATTCAGATCCAGGAAAGTAAGGTGGGGAGGCAATTTTACCTCCCCCTCGATAACGCCAACGAATGGGCGAAAACTTTCACCCTCGGGAGCGGGGCCCGCTTCGCCTGCCGCGGAGTCCACCAACTGGCAGCCTGTCGCCAGCAACGCGAGCAGGGCCAGGAGCGAGGCAGTCAAGATGTTTCTCATAGTGGGATACATTCAGCTATAAGTACGAGGGACGCACGAAGGATGGATGTTCAACTTACAATCTGCTCAAATGGCATATACTTACAGCATACTGGAGCTTTTCCCCATAGGCAAAAGGAGACACACCATGACCGGCGATTCCAAGCCTCGGGTCTATCTTATCGGCGCCGGCGGTTCAATTTCCTTCATTGGCGACTTCCGCACCGATTACATCAACTACAGCTACCGCAACCGGCACCTGACCATCGAACAGATGCTGGACAACATACCCGAGGCCAGGGACTTCGCTGAGGTGCTGCCGGAACAACTGGTGAACGTGGGCAGCGCCAACATCACTCCCGCCCACTGGCTTCAACTGGCCCGACGCATCAACGACATATTCGCGCTGGATGCCCAGGCCGCCGGGGTTGCCGTTACCCACGGCACCGCGACGCTGGAGGAGACGGCCTACTTCCTGAACCTGACCGTGAAGGACCGGCGGCCGGTGGTGGTAACCGGCGCCATGCGGCCACCGACCGGCATGGGAACCGACTCGGACATCAACCTGCTGGACTGCATCCGGGTGGCCGCGGCGCCCCAGTCGGCCGGCCGAGGGGTGCTGACGGTGCTGAACAACGAGATCCAGGCGGCGCGGGACGTAACGAAGAGCAACAGCTACCGGCTGGAGACCTTTCGTTCGGGCGAACTGGGCTGCCTGGGCTACGCCGACTCGGACGAAGAGGTAGTTTTTTACCGAAGTCCGGCGAGGGCCCACACCGTGGATAGCGAGTTTGACGTCAGTGAGGTGGAGGAACTGCCCCGGGTGGACATCGCCTACGCCTACGCCGGGGCCGACGGCCTGGTGGTCAACGCCTTGGCCGAGGCAGTGTGGGCGGCATCGTGGCCGCCGGCCTGGGCGGTGGCAGCTCGTCGCCGGAGTTCATGTCGGCGCTGAAAGGAGCGCAGGAAAAGGGGATTCCGGTGGTAATCGCCACGCAGACTGGAAACGGTCGGGTCATGCGCACCCGCCGCTTCGTGGAAGACGGCTACATCGCCGCCGACAACCTGGCGCCGAAAAAGGCCGGAATATTATTGATGCTGGCGTTGACGAAGACTGATGACCCTGGGGAGATACAGCGGATGATGCTGGAGTATTGAGGTCGTTTTTCGCCGAAGGACACGAAGCACGCGAAGGATAATTCAGGTTAAGGAGCCTTATTTGCCTGCTCGAACTACGAAACCAACCTTTGAGAATTTAGCCAAGAAACGGCAAGGTGACTTTCGGGATAGTTCAGACACTATCAGCAATGCCGGGTATAATCCGTCAGATGATAAGGGTTCTCGCCACCGCCACTGCTGGCTCTTGGAAGCGAAGATGATAACCTCTATCCCACACTGCAAAGTGACGATGGTGCGAGAGCGGTTCTTCAGTGACCGGGGTATCAATGGTGGAAGTCCTCCAGGAGCGGCGACGATACAAAGTGGTCGGGCCGACGCGGAATATGGCAAGTTCCCAAATTGCCTGTCTGAAACTTTATGTTGCCTTTGGTAAATACCTGGTGCACTGGTAGCAGCAGCCCGGGCCATAGACCCCGACGTATGTTGGATCGCGGACATTCACTATCAGCCCACGTATCGCCTATTGAATTCGAGTGGATTGGCCTGGACGTCTCTCTGGAGGGTGGGAGGACCAGTTCTCAAACCACCCAGCATTGACGCCTTCATGTTGGCCGAAACGGAAACAGGTCTGCGGCGGGCCTACTGCTTGAGTGGAAATACGTTGACAGTATTTCAGACCAACCCGACTATAAGGGTGAGGTAAGGCAGGTGAAACCCGCCGGAAAAGATACTCGCCCTGGTACTACGCCGACGACTCTTCCTTTAACCTGGCGGTTGCCCCGAAATGGAGGACTTCTTATACGAACCCTTTTACCAGATTATGCGGCAAAGGCTGCTGGCCGACCGGATGGTGCAAAGGGAAGAACTTGGGGTCTCCGAAACCAAGGTTGTAATTGTAGTTCCACAGGATAACTTGGCATATCGTGAGACGATTACATCACCGCCTCTGAAAGAGCAGTTTTTCTGAATATGCGACCAGTGGGGGAAATTATGCACGCGTGTTTGAAAGTGCCTGGCAAGCAATTCGCTATGGTCTCTCCTTCCATTCTGGTTGATGCCGTCAACAAGGAGACCGGCCCAAAGGCAGATCATTGGGCGGCCTATTGGAGAGACCGCTGACGGCGTTTGAGAGCCTGCTTGGGAAGGGTAAAGGGTTAAATCCTGTTAATCGATGATCGAACAAAAATCAGGGGCGGGTTTGAAACCCGCCCCTACAATAATTCTGACCCTTCGTCTACCTTCGTAGAAACCTAACCTAGCCGGGATTTCGTCGTAGTGGTCGAACTCGGCTATTACGTTGCCTTCCTTTAGCTGCTCGATTTCCTCTTCCGAGTAGCCCAGCAGGCCGCCGAGGACTTCCTCATTATGCTCACCCACCTGGGGGGTGGAGCCGACCACCACCGGGGTGCGGCTGAAGTGCCAGAAGTCTCCGGATACGGCGATGGTGCCGGCGAGGAAGTCGGGTACCTCTTGCAGCGCGCCCCGCTCCCAGGGGTGGGGGTCGGCTGCAGCCTGGGCGATGGTGTTCACCGGCGCCGCCACCACGTCGTGGTTGGTGAAGTGGGCGATGACTTCCTTCATGGTCATGTTTTCCATCAGTTCCCGCATGGCGTCGTTGATTATCGAGCCGTTGCGGCCCCGCTCGGGGCGGGTGGTGAAGCGCGGGTCCTCCAGCCATTCCGGCTTGCCCAGGGCGTTGCAGACCCGGTGCCAGTGGTGCTGGTCGCCGGCGGAAATAAGTACCCAGCCATCCTTGCAGGGGTAGGTACCACTGGGAGGCGCGGCGGACTCGCCCCGCCTGGGCTCGATGCCGGCGCCGTGATAGGCGGTTACAGGAATCTCAGTGTAGCTGTAGCCGGTGTCGGCCAGGCAGACATCGATGCTCTGGCCCTCGCCGGAACGCTCCCGCTCCTGCAGGGCGGCCAGGGTGCCAATGGCGGCGTGAAGGGCGGTCGTGCGGTCGATGATAGGTACGCCGGCCCGAATGGGGGGCATCCCCTCCTCGCCGGTAACCATGGCAATACCCGACATGGTCTGGCCGATGGGGTCGTAGCCGATCTGCTCACGGTAGGGACCGAACTGGCCGTAGGCCGAGACGTTGACCATGATGATGCGGGGGTTCAGTTCCTTCAATACGTCGTAGCCGAAGCCCATATTTTCGATGGTGCCGGGGCGGAAGTTCTGAAGTATCACGTCGGAAATCCTGATCAGCTTGCGCAGGGCTTCCTTACCCTCTTCCTTGCGCAGGTCCATGCTCAGGCTCTTCTTGCCACTGTTGTACTGCACCCAGTAGGCGCTCTGCTTCCGGACCCAGGGGCCGTGGTAGCGGGTCTCCTCGCCGCCCAGCCGCTCCACCTTGATTACCTCGGCGCCCAGCCGGGCCAGAACCTGGGCGCAGCGGGGGCCGGCCTGGTGGCGCCCCAGGTCAATTACTCGAACTCCGCTCAAGGGACTATTGCCGTCTGCCATCTGAAACACCCCTCGTTTAGACTGCTGTAGTTTGGGGTAATTTACCACCGGATTGGGGAAAGGGCAAGCCAGCGGAAATTCGCGGAAGCCGTAGACTTTGCAGTCACCGCCGTTCCTGGAACAGCGTTAGTAGAGGAATCCACCAGGGCAGGGGACGTCAGGGCAGAGCAGGCTCCCTTGCCAATCAGGTTGCAGAAAGAGGCTTGAGTTGCGGGAAGCAGCTAATGCCTTATTCGCGAAACGGGTGAACCTCGCAAATGTTGGCCCCGTTGCCAAGGGTACGGTAATTGACGGTCTGGTATAGTCTGGTATTGTTTCGTGATTCTTGCTGGGGGCCCTCTCCTTATGAAGTCAAAGACTAGCACTTTTCTGTTGAAGTTCCGGTTCCTAATTCCTGTGGCGCTCCTGCTGGCCGTATTGGCCTGCAACAACGATGCCGACGCCACTCCCTTACCGGCGCCAACCCCGAATATTCCCGCGACGGTTCAGGCGCAGGTAACAAGCTACGTGGACTCATTGCCCACCGCCACTCCCTGGCCAACCAATACCCCCTATCCGACGGGTACGCCCTTCCCGACCCACACGCCCTACCCGACGGCCACGGCGCTGCCGACCCATACGCCCTACCCGACGCCAACTGCAATGCCAATTCTGGCGCCAGTTCAGGCGCCAACCCAAGCGCCGCTGCCCACCTATACTCCCTTTCCCACCTATACTCCCGCGCCTGCCCCCGCTTCGGTGAGGGTAACCTGGCCGACACCGGCTCCGGCCCCCACGGCCACACCGGTCCCACGCCTTTCCTTCGATGAGTTTGCTGCTCTGGATACCTCCGGAAGGGTTGACCCAATACTACGCACTTCTGTACTGGGACCCAGCAACTGCGAACGTGTTGCCGACTTGAGCATTGAATTGAGCCAGCAGCAGGATATCTCCATCCTCAAGGTCTACGATATGCGAGTGTTCGTCAGCAACTCCAGGCGGGTGGAGTGTGCCGGCACTGCCCGATTGAGCCAGGGTAAGAACGCTCCCATAAACATTTTCGCGGAACATGATGGAGAAGGGGACAACTTCTACGGCTACCGCTTCCGCCAGCCGGCCAACCGCTAGCCGACCGCCAGTCAAGGGGATCAGGCAGGCCCCTGCTAGTGTCTGCCTGACCGCGTTTCCGGCGGACAATAGTCCCTTCACCAGACCCCAGGACCCCCCTACCCAGCCTCAGAATCCGTGATGGCCCATACTCCTGCTTTCACCAAGTCTGAGTCCCTGCCCTTCGGGTACAGGGGGTAGTTTTGATTGCAGATATGGACTGTTTTCTGGTCAGGCTGTCCACAGGCAAGATCAATATTGCCCAAGCCTCGCTCTCAGATGTATTGAGTCGGCCACAGAAAGTCGATAGAATCCAATGCCGTGTTGAGCCCTTGAGCCGCGAGCAACGGGTTTTGGGGCCATGCGAAGAGGACGGTCGGGCCCGTGGTTGACCCTCAACGGGTGCCATTTACAAGCCAGGGAACCTCTAAATTAGTCATCGACATGGTTGCGAAATGGAAAGCCATAAGGGGAGCTTAGGGGCACCGGCTATGAGATGAGTGCAGGCACCCCCATCCTGGCCTTCCCTATTCAAGAGCGAAGGGACTTGTTCAGAGGTTCCCTGGAACTGGTGTGCTTGGGATGATGCGCTGTGGGGCATGGCGGGACGGGAAGTCCATGTCCCATTTATTTATGTCAAATATGAATGTTTATTCATAAACTGTTGGTTCACTTAGACAGTCGCAATATAATCAATATTTAATAGGGGTCTTCCCTGCCTCGCCGCAGGATGCACTGGCCCCGCATTAGGAGTGATCACCGATGCAAGCTTCTCCGGCTCTGCTGACAGTACAGCTACCCCCGGGCCCGCGCGGCCTGCCGGTACTGGGTTCCCTGCCCTTCCTGGTAAAGGCGCCGACCCACCACAGCCTGAACCGGCTGGCCAAACAGCACGGGGACGTCTGCCTTTTTTACATTGGCAACGTGCCCACGGTGGTTATCAGCCACCCCCAGTTGATGGCCGAGGCCTTTGAGCAGGCCGATCTCGGGGAGGGAGGAATCGCCCGCCACATCCTTACCCAGGTCGATTCCGGACACGATCCCGGACACGATCCCGGTGAGGATGCCTGGGACGATGAAGGGTATGGTACCGAAGCTGATGGAAGAGCGCCGGCCCTGGCGCCCCACGGTGACCGTTGGCGGTACCTGCACCGGTTCACCACCGAAAAGCTGTTCGGCCCCGAAGGGCTGCAAATGCTGGAAAGGCACCACGTAGAGCCCATGGTGGGCGAACTGGCAGAACGCCTGGGCCGTCTGGCAGATGCGGGGAAGACGGTCAATCCGATGGCGGACTTTGACCATCTGGAATACAACCTGACCTTCCGGGCCGTCTTCGGTGCCAGCTGCCACGATTCGCTGGATTTCCTGAGCCTGAAGAGCCAACTGCGGGAGCATATCTCCTGGGACAACGACGTCGCCACGACCCTCAATCCCTCCGACTTCCTTTCCTGGTTCAAGGGCAGTCCCCGGAAGCTGGAACGGGAGGCCGAGCGACTCAAGCCCGACCGGGACCGGATCCTGGCCGGCCTGCTTAACGGCGTCCGCCAGCGCCCCGACTATGATCCTTCGGCGCCGAACTGCCTGGCGGAAGTGATGCTGGCCGCCCAGTCCGCCGGCGACCTGGAGTGGGCCGAAGTGCGCAGCCTTTGCTCCGGCATCCTTTCCGTAGCCCCCTCCGGCCTGGCCAAGTCCCTGAGCTGGCTGCTGTTGCTGCTGGCCAACCGCCCGGAAATCCAGGCGGGGGTCCACGAGGAAATAGACCGAGTCCTGGGCTGGGGGGCCGTTCCCGACACTGAGGACCTCAGCCGCCTGCCCTATACTTTTGCGTGCCTGGCCGAGTCCATGCGGTACCGGACCACATCGCCCCTGTCCATCCCCCGCCGGGCGGCGCGGGACACGGAGGCGGGCGGGTTCCAGATACCGGCCGGCGCCCAGGTGCTGGGCAACATCTACGCCGTCCATCACGATGACCGATTCTGGGCGTCGCCCCTCCGGTTTCTGCCCGAGCGGTTCATGCCGGGGCCCGACGGATCGCCGGCGCCAGCCTTGACCAACGGCGCATTCATGCCCTTCGGGACGGGGCACCGGGCCTGCACCGGACGCGCGCTGGCGGAGACTTCCACCTGGCTTCACGCGTCCCGATTGCTGAGCCGGCTGCGGTTTGAAACTCCGGACGAAACGCCCCTGCCGGAGGTCGAGGTCTTCGACAGGACCCTGTGCAAGACCATAGTTCCGCAACCTTACGACCTGAAGGTGACCCGCCGCTGGTAACAAGTTCTTTTCTTACTGATGAAAGGTGACAGACCTGCGTGTTCATTAGCGGGCAGGAATAGTTGGGGAACCTCTAAATAAGTCATCGAAATTACAACGAGGCCGAAATCCCTTAGCGGGACTTGGTGGCATCAGCTATGAGATGACCGCCGGCACCCCCTTCCTGACCTTCCCCCGTCGAGCGGGAAGGGACTTGTTCAGAGGCTGCCTAGACAGTCGAGGGAATGGACAGGCGGGGGGAATGCTAAACCTTACTGCGTGATGCCCGCGCTGCTGGAGAGAAAGGAAGAGTACGGTCCCGCACCAGGTCCGACGTACGGCCCGATACAGGGCCCCATGCCGGACCCCATACCGGAAAAAGTCCTGGCCCGTCTGTGGCAGAAGCGGGCGGCCCGGCAAAGGGAATTCCGGACCAGCGCCGGACAGCGGGTGCGAGTCCTCTACGCCGGCCGGCCCGGCACTGCGGCCGGCCCCGACTTCCGGGATGCCCTGCTGGAGGTGGAAGCCCTGGGCCTGGTGCAGGGAGACGTAGAACTGCACCTGCGCCAGCAGGACTGGTACGCCCACGGCCACGCCGATGACCCCAACTACAACGGGGTGGTGCTTCACGCCGCCCTGGAGACCTCGCCCCAGCCCACCAACCTGCACAGCGGCCACCGGGCCCCGGTAATCTCTCTGGTCGCCCTGCTGGAAGCAGAGGAAACCCCCACCACGGGCATTTTCCGTAGGGAGCGGGAGGAAACCAAGGGGGACAATCTCTGGGCTATTTTGGCGGAACGGGGCTGGCCACGGCCAACCGACGCCGAGGGCATGGGCCTACTGCTGGATGCCGCCGGCGATGCCCGCTTCCGGGCCAGGGCGGCGGTTTTCACCTCATTCAACCGGGAGCAGCCTCCCAGCCAGACCCTGTACGAAGGTTTGCTGGAGGCCCTGGGCTATCGGGCCAACCAGCAGCCATTCCTCAAGATGGCCCAGCGCGCGCCCTGGGGCATCCTGGCCGAGGAAGCCCTGACATACCCAACTGATACGCAGGTAGCCGTCATGGAAAACCGGCTGCTGGAACTGTCGGGCCTGCCTGGACTGACGGGACCGTCCGGAGCCCGAGAAGGGGCGAGACACCGCCCGCCCGGTTACTGGAAGTCCCTGCAAGCCGAGGAGTGGCACACCTTTCGGGTGCGGCCGGCCAACCATCCCCGCCACCGCATGGGCGGCGCGGCCCGCCTGCTGGCGCGCTTTCTGGAGTCACCAAATGCCGCAAGTACTTCGGGAGCACCGATTGGTTGGGGAGAGCCAGCGGGGCCGGGCCGACTGGTGGCAGCACTAACCGAAATCGTGGCCGTCGGCAACGTGGGCAAACTCACCGCGGCCCTGACGGTGAAACGCGATGGGACGGCCGGTGGCAGCAAGAGCGCCGCATTCGTGGGCGCCGACCGGGCCAAAGATATGGCCGTCAACGTGGTCCTTCCCTTCTGCCATGCCATTGCTGAGAGCGACGACGAAGAAGGGGAAGGCGCGGCCCTGGCCCTTTACAAGAAATTCGGCAAGCTGCAGGAAAACGAAATCACCCGGGAAATGGGTGACCAGCTACTGATGCCGGAGTGGTCAGGGGTGGTAACCGGCGCCCGGCGCCAGCAGGGACTGATTCACCTGCACCGCCAACTGGTCTGATGACCTAATCCTGGTTGCAGGGCTCATCCTGGTTGCTGCTTTATCCCTGAATCTTTTCCGAACACTTTGGTCCCAATAGTGTAGTTGAGCCCCTGATGCAGGCTGTAAACCTCAGTCTGTCCCCCTGTCGCAGTGCCAGCTTCGGGATGGACACTGGCCCGTAACGTGGAAGTTCCTGCCTTCGCAGGGAACGACGGGCTGCCCCAACACTGTCCCTTAATGCCTTTTGGACCGGCTTCAACCTTTACCCATCAACCCTAGACCTCAACTATAAGCACCCACATGGGGCCCCGGCCCACTTCGTAGGTGCCGATGCGCTCCAGCGCGCCGCTGGCGTTGTCGATGCGGAAAGCAGCCAGCTTTCCCGATTCCAGTCCCGCCGAGTAGAGGTAGCTGCCCGTGGGGTCGATGCCGAAGGCCCGGGGCACCGCCTCGGAGCGGGTCCGTCCCAGGGGACTCAGACGCCCGTCATCTCCCACCGCGTAGCGGGCGATGCTGTCGTGGCCGCGGTTGGGGGCATAGACGTACCTGCCGTTGGGGGTTATCTGGATCTGGGAGCAGCTGTTCCGTTCCGAAAATCGCGAGGCAGGGTCGTAACGGTCTGGAAGGGACTCAGGCCGCCGGTGGCCGGATCCAGGTTGTAGCCCGTCACACTGCACCCCTGTTCGTTGGAGACGTAGATGATGTCCCGGTTGGGGTGGAAGCAGAAGTGGCGGGGACCGTCGGGCCGTTCGGGGCTGACCCGCGGCGGGTTGTTGGGGGTAATGTGCCCGGAACCGGGGTCGAACCGGAACTGGAAGATAGCGTTGGGCCCGTCGCCGGCGGCGATGTGGGGCACGTAGCCGTAGCGGTTAGTCGGATCGGTCTGGAAACAGTGGGCGCCGGTGCCCGTAGCCACCCACTCTACCGGCGGACCGGTCACCGCGCCGTCATCGCCGATGGCGTGGACGGCGGCATGGCCGGCATTGTAGTAGGCCGACAGCAGGTAGCGGCCGGCACGGTCGGTGGAGATGAAGCAGGGGTCCGACTCCAGCCCCGCCGTTCCGATCAGGTCAATTTGGCCCTCCGACGGGTCGAGGCGGTAGCTGGAGACCTCCAGGGCGTCCCGCCGGCCCACGTAAATGAACTGCCGGTCCGGGCTGGCGGTCATGGGCGCCGGGCGGCCCGGGACAGCGACCTCGCCCAGCCGTTCCAGGCTGCCGTCGGAGGGGTCCAGGGCAAAGCGCAGGACCTTATTCTCTCCCGAAATTGACACGTACATGTAGAAAGCCATTGTTGTACCTCATTGATGTGTGGCATTTGTCGAGTTTCTGAATGGCCGTGATTCTATCACAGGGGGCAAGGGAAAAGGCCTCACATACGGCCCATCTTTGCAGGTAATCGCGGCGTCGCTTCCGGCCCGCTCATGGTGAGCGTCTCGACCCATCGCCCCCCTGGAGTTCCAGCCTTCGACAAGCTCGGTATGAGAGGAACCCAGACGCGCACTCTTCGACAAGCTCAGCATGGGTTGTTCTAACGGGTACCTCCTTTAGCAGGAACTCCGGCACCGCGCCCTGCATTAGAAGGAAAGGGCGCCCTGTGTGGTAACATTTTCTCCAACCGCAAAGCTCACAAAAGGTAACAAGAATGGCAACAACAGCCCCTTACGGTTCCTGGAAATCGCCCATAACCTCGGAGACCATCGTGGCCGAGGCGGTGGGACTGGGCGGCATTGCCCTGGACGGAGACGACATTTACTGGCTTGAGTCACGGCCCTCGGACGGAGGACGGAGGGTCATCGTCCGCCGCACGCCGGACGGGGAAACCGCGGACATGACGCCCCGCCCCTTTAATGTGCGCACCCGGGTGCACGAGTACGGCGGCGGCGATTTTACCCTGGCCGGTGGAGTGCTGTATTTCGTCAACTTCGAGGACCAGCGCCTGTACCGGCAGGAGTTGGGCGGCGAGCCGCAGCCCCTTACTCCAGAGGCTGACCCAGTCGGGGGACTGCGTTACGCCGACTTCGTGGTGGATGCTACCCGCCAGCGTCTCATCTCCATACATGAAGACCACACCGGCGGCGGCCCTGAACCCGTCAACTCGCTGGCGGCGGTACCCCTGGAGGGCGGCGAACCGAAGGTGCTGGTTTCGGGCAGCGACTTCTTCGCCACGCCGCGCCTCAGTCCCGACGGAGCCCACCTGGCCTGGCTCTCCTGGAACCACCCCAACATGCCGTGGGACGGCGTGGAACTGTGGGTCGCGGCATTGGACGGCAATGGCGAAGTCGGGTCGCCGGACCTGGTTGCCGGCAGCCTGGAGGAAGCGGTTTTTCAGCCCGAGTGGGGTCCGGACGGCAGGCTTTACTTTGTCTCCGACCGCACCGACTGGTGGAATCTTTACCGGCGCACTTTCGATGGTCAGGTTGCGCCGGTAACCGGACCCCTGGGCATGGAGTTCGGCAAACCCCACTGGGTCTTTGGCTCGGCCACCTACGGTTTTGCCGCCGCGGACCGGATAATCTGCGCCGCCAATGACCGGGGAACCTGGGGCCTCTACAGCCTCGACACCACGAACGGGCGGTTGGAGGGCCTGGACCTGCCCTACACCGAGATGGGCCGCGCCGACCTGAAGGTGGACGCCGGGCAAGTGGTCTTCGGCGCCGGTTCCCACACCGAACCCCTGTCCATCCTGAGGCTGGATCTGGCAGATAACAGCCTGATGCAATTGAGGAAGGCCTCGGCAGCCGCGGTAGACTCCAGCTACCTGTCCGCGCCGCAAGCTATCGAGTTCTCCACCGAGGACGGCCTCACCGCCCACGCCTTTTATTACCCGCCGAGCAACGGGGATTACGCCGCTCCCGAAGGGGAGAAGCCGCCCCTACTGGTCAAGAGCCACGGCTGCCGGCCCCACGGCAGCGGCCTCCAGGTCCCTGGACCTGACCATCCAATACTGGACCAGCCGGGGCATCGCGGTGCTGGACGTCAACTACGAGGGGAGCGTCGGCTACGGCCGCGAGTACAGGGACCGGCTCAAGGGCCGCTGGGGCATCGTAGACGTGGACGACTGCGTCAACGGCGCCCGCCACTTGGTGGCGCGGGGCGAGGTGGACGGCAAGCGGCTGGCCATCGACGGGGGCAGCGCCGGAGGCTACACCACCCTGGCGGCCCTGGCTTTCCGCGACGTGTTTCAGGCGGGGGCCAGCCATTACGGGGTCAGCGACCTGGAGGCTTTGGCCCAGGACACCCACAAATTCGAGTCCCGCTACCTGGACCAGCTCATCGGCCCCTATCCGGAACGGCGAGACCTCTACGTGGAGCGGTCTCCCATTAACTTCACCGATAACCTGTCCTGTCCGTTGATCCTCTTCCAGGGACTGGAGGACAGGATTGTGCTGCCCAGCCAGGCGGAGCTGATGTTCGAGGCGGTGCGGGCCAAGTGCCTGCCCTGCGCCTACATTCCCTTCGAGGGGGAGCAGCACGGTTTCCGGCGGGCCGAGAACATCCGGCGCGCCCTGGACGGGGAGCTTTACTTCTACTCACGGGTCTTTGGTTTCGATCTGGCCGATGCCGTGGAACCGGTGGAGATCGAGAATCTTTAGTTTGTCCACGAAGGAGAGCTAAGAGGCACCAAGGGGACTTTTTATCCACGAATAGGCACGAATCCCCACTGATTTTTGCCGGTTAGAATATTTGTGCCCGTTCGTGTATATTCGTGCATAAATTTGATCCATAGGGGAGGCCCTGTTCATGGACTTCTATCAGCATGTGTTCGCTGGCAATCCGCTGGACCGGGGCGAGGTTGAACGCCGGGACGAGGCTTGGATTGCCGACCAGGCCCGGGACCCGGGGAGTCGCTTCCTGCCCATGCGCCGGGCCGGGGGTGCTGGTCAACGCCGCCGCCACGGGCAACGGCGAGCCGGCGCTGGGCTGGCTGAGCTGGTCCGACCTGGAACCCCACGTCACCAGCACATCGCCCCTGCTGCTGGGGATGGAAAACGGCACGACCTACTTTGCCATCGACCTGACCAGGGATGAGTCCGCTGCCGCCACCGTGGAAGCCCAGGGCGACTACCGGTTCGAGGAGGCCCGATCCGCCGCCGAGAACCTGCTCAGCGGACCCGAGGCCGCCATAATGGCCCAAGGCCGGGCCCAGGTGAACTGGCACAACCGCCACGGTTTCTGCTCCGTATGCGGACACGCCACCGAGATGAGGCGAGGCGGGCAAAAGCGGGAATGCACCTCGTGCAAGGCTGAGCACTTCCCCCGGACGGACCCGGTGATCATTATGCTGGTCCACGACGGCGAACGGTGCCTGCTGGGCCAGTCCCGGGGCCGCTTGCAGGCGATGAACCGCTACTCCGCTTTGGCCGGTTTCATGGACCAGGCCGAGGCCATCGAGGAGGCCGTGGCCCGGGAGGTAATGGAGGAGGCCGGCATTCGGGTGAAGCAGGTGCGCTACCACTCCTCCCAGCCCTGGCCCCTTCCCGTCGTCGCTGATGATCGGGTGCCACGCCGAGGCCGACACCACGAGCATCAACATGGACAACGAGGAGATGACCGACGTGCAGTGGTTTGACCGCTCGGAGGTGCTGCTGGCCCTGGAGGAGAAGAGCGAGAAGCTGCGGCTGCCCGGCCCAATTGCCATTGCCCACCACCTGATCAAGGCCTGGGCTTACGGGGAGGTCATTTAAGAGTTACGAGTTACGAACTCTGCCAGCCCCTGCGAGTGCCAGGGGCTGGCTGCAGATGACTAAAGGGGGACTGTAAATGAATGCTGTCGAGAAACAGTCCTCTCCAATTCTTCATTTCTATTTCGCTATTCGTAATTGAATAGGGAGGGCGGCAGATGACCACCACCGATTACTCGGCCCTGGACCGGCCCGAAATTTCCATGAATTCCTTCTATCCCCGGCGCAACTGGACGTCAACTCCGGCGGGCGCCCAGGACTTTGCCATCCCGGTGGCGGAAGACATTAGCCTGTCCTGTCGCTTCTTCCCGGTGGCCAACACGCAGCCGACCATCCTGTTCTTCTATGGCAACGGGGAGACGGCCGCCGACTACGACAACATCGCCCCAATATACAACCAGGTGGGGGTCAACTTCTTTGTGGCCGACTACCGGGGCTACGGCCAAAGCGGCGGCCTGCCCTCCTTCGGCACCATGCTGGACGACGGTCATGTGGTCAGGGACGAACTGGTCAAGGCGCTCTCCAGCGGCGGCTATGCGGGAGACCTCTTTGTCATGGGCCGTTCCATGGGCCGGCACGCCGCCTTTGAGCTGGCGACCAACAGTCCGGAAGGAGAGTTGAAAGGGGTAATCATCGAAAGCGGCCGGCCCATCCTGGGCAACTTCTGCTATGGTGTGGAGCCGGCGGTAGCGGAGCAATTGGAGGCCGGCTACCGGGCCAAGGTGGCGTCAATAGTCTTGCCGGCCCTGGTAATCCACGGAGAGGAGGACACCCTGGCGCCGGTGGAGCAAGCGCGGGAGATGTACAAGAGCTTTGCCTCGGAGCAGAAACGCATTCTCACCATCCCCGGCGCCGGCCACAACGACCTGCTTTACCGTGGCATCAACGAATACTTCACGGCTATTCGGGAGTTTGTGGGGGTTTAGGGAAGATTCAGCGGGGTAATTAGGCAGGCAAAGTACAGCGACTAGACTCCCAACAGTTCACGTCTGGAGTTATTTCGCCCTTCGATGCTGGTTCCAGGCTACGGTTGGGATTCTTCCCATCGTTCAGAATGACTGGGAAAGGTGATGGACAGGAAGGGCGGACACACAGGTCCGCACCTACATGGGCCTCTTTCGTGTTTCCTGGTCTTTTTCGTGGCTGACCAGTAAAGGGTCAGGCAAACCTGGGCAGCACTTCCTGACCGAACAGTTCCACTGCCCTTAGCGAGTCCTTGTTGGGCATTCCGGGCCACTGGCACCGCAGCACCAGTTCCTCAATCCCCAGCTCCCGGTATTTCTCGATTTCCGCGGCGCACTCGTCGGGGCTGCCGATTATGAACCGGTCGGTCAGCACCTGCTCAAAGCCCACGTCGATGCGGTCGGCCTCGGGCAGTCCCTGGCTGTGGCCAGAAGCAGCCCGGTCCTGGTACAGCCACTCGACGTGAGGGCGTGCTATACGGATGGCCTCCTCCCGGGTCTCGGCTATGAACATCTCCCGCCAGGCTGAAATATACGGTTGCTTGCCCGCTGCCTTGGCCGCCTCCCGATAAAGTTCCACCTGCCGCCCGATGGTGGGCAGCGTGGAACGAGAGCTGACCAGCCAGCCGTCGGACAGCCTCCCTGCGCGGCGGACGCCCCGGTCCTGGTTGGCGGCGATGTATATTCGAGGGTAGGGCTGCTGCAGGGACTTACCTGCGGCAGGAATGTCATTCATCTGGAAGTGCTGGCCCCGGTGAGTAACCCGGTCTTCACTCCACAGTTGCTTCATTACCTCCAGCACTTCACGGAAGCGGGAAAGCCGTTCCTCCTTGGGAATACCGAAGCCCTCGAACTGGAAGTCGCGCCAGCCCAGGGCCGGGGCCAATACCAGCTTGCCGCCGCAGATAACATCCAGGGTGGAAAGCTGCTCCGCCGCCTCGACGGGGTGGTACAAGGGCAGCAGGCCCACAAAGCCCAGCTCCAGGTCCGGGGCCTCGGCGGCCACCCGGGCCAAGAGCAAGGTGGCGTGGAAGTCGTTGTTCAGGTAGGCCGCGCCAGTCCAGAGGGAGTGGTAACCGTATTTGGCGGCCAGCCGCGACTTTTCCAGACGACCCTCCAGGGCCTCGGCCCGGGATTCGTGGGGCAGGTTGCCTCCCCCCAGGTTAATTCCGAATTTCATGGTGCGGCAATCTCCTCATTGTCGGGACTCAATAACGGTTTGAGGTACTCGGATGCTGCGTGGAGTTCAAAGCCCACCACGTCGAACCCGTCCTCCTCGCTGCCAAAGTCAATTATCAAGGGAGATGTAACTTCGTTTGAAACCCGGATCTTCCGGCCCGGCACGAGCACGTAGAGGATATCGAGGTCCTCGTCGCATGAAACTTTGAGGTATTTTCGCCGGATATTTTCGGCTTCATAGTTCACCTCGCTGGTGCCGTCTTGTTGCCCCAGTGTCGAAGTGGGTTGTCACAATTGTGCGGTCATCTTCTTTGGATACCGCTACCTTCAACAGTTGGTTTATGTATTCCCCATAGCCAAAGTAATTGGTGGAGTTCTTCTTTTCGTCGTCTACTACAGCTATAGGATTGTCTATCGTTTGCGCTACCCATTCTACACTAATGTCCCTCTGCCAAACCCCATGCAGGACGTGCTGAGACAGAAGCCGCTCCTTGCCGGAGGCAAGGATGAAAGTCGGCTCGGACGGACCTAACGTCGGTACGAAACATCTCCCATTTTCATTGACCGGACACAATGAACAGACGGGGATGGTATCATAACCCCACATCAATCCCTGTGAAAACCAACGAAATCTGAAGTCCATCAAACGGGAGGTTTCCCCATGTCAGAGCGAATACCTATAGTGCCCGAAGGCTTGGCGGCGAGCCCTGCCTTTTCACCCGGCGTCCGCGTCGGAGAGTTTCTGTTCGTTTCCGGCCAGATAGCCCAGGGCGCGGACGGCCAGTTGGTGGGCGAAGGCGACTGCGCCGCACAGACCCGCCAGGTCATGGCCCGCATCCGCACCATCGTTGAGGCGGCAGGGGCCAGCATGCAGGACGTGGTCAAGATTACGACCTTCCTGGTCAACCTGGACGACTACCCCGACTTCAGCGCGGTCCGCTCCGAGACCTTCCCCGCCAGTCCACCGGCCAGTTCCACGGTGGTGGTGGCCGCACTGGTCCGACCCGAGTTCCTGGTTGAAGTTGAGGCGGTGGTGCATATTCCAGGCAATTAAGAGCCAGGGATTCGGCTGAAGGCGGGAAATTTAATCGCTTCAGCCGCTTCAGCCTCCGCCGGCGCATTTCAGTCCCTATTTCTAAATTCGTAATTCCTAATTGATTTCGGAGGCAACGAAATGAAACTGGCCAGATTCGGCTATGACGACTGGGAAAGCTACGGCCTGGTGGAGGGCGACCGCGTCAGCGTCATCCAGGGCAGCATCTTCCGCGAGCACACCGTCACCGGCGTCTCCTACGCCCTCAGTGAGGTCAAGCTGCTGCCGCCCACCCAGCCCACTGCCTATTGGGCCGTGGGTCTCAACTACGCCGCCCACATCGCCCACCAGGAAGAAGCCCTGGACGCCGAGCGCATCCAGCGGGACTCGTCGGCCTTCCGGCCCTGGCAGAAGGGGGCCAACTGCATCATCGGCCCCGGCGAGAACATCGTCCTGCCCGCCGAGTCCGATTATGTCCACTATGAGGGAGAGTTGCTGATAGTCATTGGGAAGCCGGCCCGCCGCGTGTCCGTGGAGGACGCACCGAACTATATCTTGGGCTATTCCATCGCCAACGACGTCAGCGGCGAGGGTTCCTGGGCCGCCGACCTGTCCAACTGGCGGCGCAAGATGTGCGACACCTTCGGCCCCGTCGGCCCGTGGATTGAGACCGACGTGGACCCCCACGACCTGGAGATCATCACCCGCCTCAACGGGCAGGAGCACGACCGGGGCAGCACGTCGGGCATGATCTACGACTGTTACTACACCGTCAGCGGCATCAGCCAGTTCGTGACCCTGCGCCCGGGTGATCTCATCCTCACCGGAGCCCCAGGGTCGGTGGAGCAGTTGCACCACGGCGATGTGGTGGAGATTGAGATTCCAGGAATCGGCACGCTGTCCAATCCGGTGGTGGCTGAGGAGGTTTAGTGTGTTCAGTGAGTGAGGGCCCACAAGGGGTGCCACTGCTGAATCCGATGGTTGTTGTGCAGTGGCACCCCTTGTGGCTGCCTTGTTCTTTTTCTCCTCCCTCCCCTTTGATACCCCACCCGGTTTAGCGGTATACTGTTGCCCGGTTTGGCGCCACGGATGCGCGCACCAGGTTACCTTTTTGAAGGCCAAATTCATTTGATAGCGTGATCGCGGGAGGTCTCGGGTGGAATTCAGTATTGCAGTTCTCAGCGGCGACGGCATTGGGCCGGAGGTTACCGCCGAGGGGGTTAAGGCCCTGGAGGCGGTGGGCCGCGCCTTTGGCCACACCTTCAACCTCGAATACGGCGACGTGGGCGGTATCTCCATAGACAAGCATGGTACGCCCCTTACGACGGAAGTTCGAGAACTGGCCGGCGCCGCCGACGCAGTCCTTTTCGGCGCGGTGGGCGGGCCCAAGTGGGACGATCCATCGGCAACAGTGCGGCCCGAGGACGGCCTGCTCCAACTACGTTCCCACCTGGGCGTCTTCGCCAACATCCGCCCCGTCAAGGTCTATCCCAACCTGGTGGAATCCAGCGTCCTGAAGCCCGAGGTCCTGGAAGGGGTAGACATGGTGGTGGTGAGGGAACTGACCGGCGGGCTCTACTACGCCGAGCCCAAGGGCCGCCACCAGACTCCCCAGGGCTGGACGGGCGTGGACACCATGCGCTACAGCGAGGGCGAGATCGAGCGGGTCCTTAGGGTAGGGTTTGAGCTGGCCCGGGGCCGTCGCAAGAAGCTGGCGTCCATCGACAAGGCCAACGTGCTGGAATGTTCCCGCCTCTGGCGGCAGATTGCCACCCGCCTGGGCGAGGAGTACCCCGATGTGGAGCTGGAGCACGTTTTGGTAGACGCCTGCGCCATGCAATTGATACAGCGCCCAGCCCACTTCGATGTCATTGTGGCGGAGAACACCTTTGGAGACATCCTCACCGACGAGGCGGCAGTGCTGTCCGCCTCCATGGGCCTGCTGCCCTCGGCCAGCCTGGCTGACGTGCCCATAGAGGGGCGCAGGATCCCCGGCTTTTACGAGCCTATCCACGGCACCGCGCCGGACATAGCCGGACAGGGCATTGCCAATCCGGTGGCCTCCACCCTCAGCGTGGCCCTGATGCTACGCTACTCCCTGGGCCTGACCGAAGAGGCGGCCAGCGTCGAACGGTCGGTGGAAATGGCCCTGGATGCCGGGCACCGCACTCCGGATATAGCAGTGGAAGGCACCCACCGGGTCAGCACGACCGAAATGGGCGACCTGATCGCCAACGCCATAGCGCCGTAGTTTCAATTACGAATTACGAATTAATGATTACGAACCGGGTTGTCGGACGAAGGGTTCGGGTTCACCCGCAGTTATTTAGGGTCAGTAGCTCGAGTCAGACACATCCACCTCGACCCCGAATGGCCTCGTCTCTACGAAAGCGGGAACCTTGGCACCATTACGTAGAGGTTGGCAACACGGATGAGGCCGTTGCCCGGCCCGTGCTGCCAATTATTGATTCGTAATTCCTGATTAGTAATTCAAGGAGAACCATGCCTTTCGTACCCGACCAGGTCAGCCTGCTGGTATCCGTGCCCATTTTCCTTGCCAGCGCGGCTGCCGTCATATTTATGGGCATTCAGTTGGCCAAGTATGGCGACGCCCTGGCCACCCTTACCGGCTGGGGCCGCCTCTTCGTGGGCAGCATTCTTGTTGCATTGGCAACCTCCCTGCCCGAGTTGTCCAACAACATCACGGCCGTGCGGATCGACAATCCGGAACTGGCACTGGGCAACGTGGTCGGGGCCAACATGATCAACATGTTCACCATGGCACTGGTGGCCATAATCTTCGGCGGACGGCGTTTTCTGCAACAAGTGGCTCCCGAACAGGGCTATCTGATCGTACTGGCGGCCATTCTCACCGGCCTGGTAGTGCTGTTTGCCGGCTGGCACGCCCTGGCGCCCAACGCCATAACGGAAGCCAACATCTGGCAGATCGGGGTATCCTCCATATTCCTGCTGGTGGTCTACGTTATAGGTATGCGGATTGTCTACCAGCGAAGGCCGGCAGATTCGGAGGAGGAGGCTGAGGACCCGGGAATGACGCTGACCAAGGCCTGGGTAATTTTCGGCCTGGTATCGCTGGGTGTAATCATCGCGGGAGTGTTCCTGGCCCAGAGCGCAGACTGGATTGCACAGTCCACCGGCATATCCTCCGGAGTGGTGGGAATCCTGGCCGTGTCCATTGTAACTACCATGCCCGAAGCTTCAGCCTGCGTGGCGGCAGCCCGCATGGGGGCGGCGGACCTGGGCGTGGCCGGCCTCTACGGCAGCTGCGTCTTCAACGTGACCATACTGTCTTACGCCGACCCATTCTTCCGCAACGGCGTTATCATGAACTTTGCCTCGCCGGAGCACTTCGTTTCCGGCATCATTGCCGTGGGCCTGATTTTCTTCGGGGGAATTCTGCTGTGGGGCCGCAACCGGTTCTCCCAGCCGGTGATAGTGTCCGGACTGGCGGTCATGGCGGCGGTGTACATCGCCGGCGCAGCGTGGGTGGCAGCCCTGGGCGCGCCCAGTTAAACCTGCCATGACAAGACAAAACGACCATATTACGCCACACAATATAGCTCACCCATTTTACAATTACGCCCAAGCAGGGGTTGACATTACGCCTCAATCTGTTCAGGCTTAATTAATCTATTTTGGAGGCGTACTATGGTCATAAAACAGCGTAGTCCCAATTATCCGGGTGTGGATCTGCCCACTGCAATTCAGCACGTTCGAGACCTCTATTCCAAGGTTAAAGGGGGGGAATTTACGATACTAGATGCTGCTCAAAACTGGAATCTTAGTGCTGGAAGCGGCGGCGTTAGGCGAAGGATGGGTGCCTTAAGGCAGTATGGACTGATAGAACAGAGGAAGGGAGATACAGCTAAGTTAACTTCGAGATCATTAACATTAGTACTTAGGCACCAAGCTTCCAATGAGTTTAAGGAAGCTGTGCAAGAGGCTATTCTAACGCCCGATCTTTTTAAGGAGCTATACGAAACAGGGAAGTACCAATCTGCAGACGATGCCCTAAAGCAGCACCTTGTGATTGAAAAAAGATTCTCTGATGAGGGTGCCTCTAGATTCATTGAGGTTATGAAGGAATCTTTCAATTATGTGGGCTTGGGCAGTGAAGAGACTTTTGAAAGTTATAACGAGGGCGTAACTGAAAAATATAACCAAGATTTGCCTATTAATTCTCCAACTAACAGCGATAAAGTGCGGTTTTCTATTTCAGGCGGCCCGGCCTTGTTTAACTTGGATCTACCTTTACCCTTAACTGAAGAGATGTGGAATAGCCTGATTGACATGATTAATACTCTCAAGCCCATGCTTGTGCAGCCTGCTGGTTTTGGCATGATTCCTGAGTCCAAACAGTTGGACTTTGACCTGGACGAATTCGAAGAAGTCGATGAAGAGTAAGTCTCTGAAATCCCATCGGTTGACGGTCGACTGAACCTGCCATAGACTGGCCCCACCAAATCGAATGTTACCGCATGTACCTTTCTGGGGGTGTCATGACCAGCCAAGCCACCGCCGCCGACTTCGTTTCCAAGGTGAAACGTCCCACAGATATCGACCGGTTCTGGGACGACGTTCTGGCCCAGACTGCCGAGATTCCCCTGGATGCAAGTGTTGTCCACGACCCTCTCCGCTCCACGCCGCAGGTGGACGTTTACCAGGTCCACTTCACCAGCCTGAACAACGTACGCATCGCCGGCTGGTACGCGCGTCCCGCCAACCATGCTGGACAATTGCCGGGGCTGTTGGTGGTTCCCGGCTATTCCATGGAGCCCCTGATTCCCAAAGCCTGGGCAGCCAAGGGATACGCTGCCTTCAGCGTTGCGCCCCGAGGCAAGCTGCGCAGCAACGACCAGTTCAACCCCGGCTATCCCGGCCTGCTTACCTACGGTATTGTGGACCGCAACACCTACACCTACCGGGGATTCTACATGGACGCCTGCCGCGGCGTCGACTTTCTCCTTTCCCGGGATGAGGTGGACTCCGAACGGCTTGGCGTTACCGGCCACAGCCAAGGCGGCGGCCTGTCGGTGGTGGTGTCGGCCCTGCGGCGAGAAATCACGGTGGCCACCGCCGGCGCGCCCTTCCTCTGTGGCTATATGGACGCTATTGAGCTTACCGACGGCTATCCCTACCAGGAAATTGCCGACTACCTGAGGCAGCATCCCGAAAGCCGCCAGCAGGTTACGGTTACCCTGGCTTACTTCGACGGGATCAGCCTCGCGCCGCGGGTTACCTGCCCAATCATTGTCAACATCGGCCTTCAGGACAGTACCTGCCCGCCGGAGACCGGCTACGCCCTGTTCAGGGCAATCGGAAGCGAGGACAAGGCCCTCTACGATTACGACGGCCACGGCCACGACGCCAATAACCACGATCACGCCAGGATCATCGACGCCTTCCTGGCCCAGCACCTTCAATCCTAGAAGTCTGGCCGAAAAGCCATTGGCCGGATTTCGCGCTACGCCCAGCAGACGTATTCCAGTCTTATACGGCATGGTAATGTATATAATACGTGTCAAGAACCCACTGTTACATCGACAATCGACGTTAAGAAAACGGCGGGTTGGGGAGAATTGGGGTTCCCGGCCAGACTTCTAGGGGGGCCCCAGCTATGACTTCATCAACGACTTTATCAACCGAGGGAAACCCCCTGGAATTTGACGCTTACTGGCAGGCAACCATGGCTGAACTTGCCAAATTGCCGACAGCTCCGGAGGTGGAAGAGATCCCCCTGCGGTCCACGGAGTTTGCCACTGCCTATGCCGTGCAAATAACCTCCATCGGCCCCTACCGCATCTTTGGCTATTTGAGCATTCCCCAAGGGCAAGGGCCTTTCCCCACCCGCTACTTCCTGCCCCGCTACGGGAGCGTAGCCGACCTGGTGCCCCAGGGAACCTCCAACAACCAGCGCCGCCAGTACGTCACACTGGCCATCTGCGCCCGCGGCCAGCGGAACTCCGACCGGCCTTATGCCGCCAGTTTCCCCGGCCAGTTGACCCACGGCATCGCCGACCCGGAAGGATATATCTACCGGGGCATTGTGGCCGACTGCTGCCGCGGGCTGGAGTACCTGCTCCAGCGGCCTGAAGTGGACCAGACTCGCATTGCCGCCATCGGCACCGATATGGCCCTGGTCACGGCGGCTCTCTGTCCCCAGATTACCCACCTGGTCTGCACCCCGGTAATCTTCCACCGGACTATGGAGCGGGCCGGCAGCACCCAGGCCTATCCTCTGGAGGAAATAAACGACTACCTGCGCCAGCATGCCGACCGGCGAGAGAGAGTGGCGAACACCCTGGCCCACTACGACCTGCGCCGGTTCGCCCCCAAAGTAAGGGGTACCACCCTGCTGATGGCGGAAGCACGGGGCGGCACCCTGGACGCCTCGATTCTGGAACCGATGGCCCAGGACATCCAGGGTCAAACCCTGGTTCACGAATCGGAAAACTCCGGCTTCAAGGACGGCGCCTTCAGCGAGACCTGGTTGTCGGAGCAGTTGGGCATGCCAGAACCCAGCCTGCCACCCCACTGGCAGGCACGGGGCTGACAGTTAAAGAATTATCTCAAAACCACCAGTGAAATTCGCAGTTGCGGGCGGCAGTGATATTGCGCTACCCGTCACCCCCATCCTGACCTTCCCCCATCAAGGGGGAATGAACCCGGCTGACCGGTTCGGTCAGGTCACCGGCACGTCAAGCAGTAATCCCCTTCACCTGGTGCGTAAAGGAGTCGAACCCTGATGCCCTATCTCTCCCTGCCCGGCGTTGATCTCTGGTACGAGGATACGGGAGGCCCTGGCACGCCGGTAGTCCTGCTCCATGCCGCTTCGGGTACGACAGAATGCTGGGTTCACCAGCTTTCCACCTTCACTGCAAACGGCTACCGTTGCGTCTCCTATGACCGACGAACCTGGGGACGTTCCCGACCCACCGACTCCGGCCTTCAACCCGGTTACGCCGGCGACGACCTTCACGCCTTGCTGGAAGCCTTGGGGCTGGAACGGGTACACCTGGTGGGCACGGCGGCGGGAGCCATACCGGCGCTGGACTACGCTCTGAGACACCCGGAGCGGGTACGCAGCCTGGTGGCAGCCAACACCATTGGCGGCGTCCAGGATAGCGAGTACCTGGAGTTGCAACACCGCCTCCGGCCCCAGCAGATACAAGACCTGCCCGTAGAGTTGCGGGAGGTCGGCCCCTCATACCGGGGCAAAGACCCCGACGG